TCTCCTGCAAAAGAGTCATGCATGCATCCTTCATTTTTGACAAAGCACACATATTCGGACGCACAAACTCAAGTATAAAATTTAAATAAGATTCAGGCTGAGTGATGGCAATCAAGGGGGAACAGCTTAAGCATGGAGATGGCTCATTTTTCTGGCTGGCACGGCATTCTGCTGATCAGGTTATGTGAGGATTCCATCGTAGGATATTGGTGTAGTTTGGTATCTCACTGTTTAGGTCCATTCACATTCACCCATTGGAAGGACCTGTCCAATGTCATCTGAACTGCCGCTTTCTCCAAGAGCAAACTGCAGAGACATATGCAGAGCCACCTAAACAGCGGTTGAATGGACTGACTGTAGGTCGTCTTAAAAGAATCAATGGTCAACAGACTCAGTGGTCATCACATTTTAGAAGTCAATAGATGTTAGAATTGCTGCATGGCCAATACCACAACCAGAAGTTTCATATCATATTTTCTCTCCCCCGGTAAAGGCTATATCAAACAAATGTGCTTGTCGTTACTTGATCATATATGCTTTCACCAATGTCATGCAGTGTAGGTGGGAAATTTTCCATCCCAGAGATGTGCAATGTCATATCACACAATTTAGTTTACTGGATGTTAGCCGGAAGGCGACCCACCACCTATAACATGCAGCCTCTGTGAAAGACGCAGAGCGTGCTTAAACTGCCAATTACACATGGAAAACTTCCAGGCAACCAAGTTCCACTTATTCCACGAGTGGAAACCCTCTTTTGGCCTTAGGGACTAATACAATTTCAGAGAAGCTCTTAGGGGCCTCCAAAGGTGGGGTCAAGGTACAAAATACAGATCAGCCTATGTTAGCTTAAAGTTCTTTTCACCAGTTACTCAGCCTTAGGAAAGGTATTACATCCTTTTAGAATGGGGGAAATGGTAGAAAAGCCAGGAAGCCACCAGACAGTAGCTAGTAGGGGAAAGGAGGTAGAGCCAGGGTAAGGGTCATGGACATCTGGCAAATCTGGAGGCTTGGATTAGTATCCCAGAGGGTCAGAGTTTCCCCACTCCAACTACTTCCTATTAACCAAGGTTGCTCCATAATATTAAACAGTATAAAGAAGGCACCTTCATCATGTATGAATGAATGAATGTGTGGCAATCGATGCAATGACGTATTGGCAATTGCACACTGTGTTCTCTCTCCTTAGTTCTCAGTCCAATCCTACGCAGAGTTAGCCATCCTAAAGTGCAGTGAAACCCATAAAATTAGGCATTTCCCCCGCTCTGCACAGGATTGTTCTCACTGTCTCCCCACTGGGGAGTTATGTCTGTTCATGGCTTCCTGGTCCATCTGCATGGAGTGAGAACAAAGCTGGCATGTTTTTCACTCCACAGGATGGTCTTCATGTGGGTTGTATGTTCATTACAACATGTAGCTGCCTATGTAGTAGCACTGTCACTTGTGATACCACATTGAAATCAGAGGGAGAGATTAGCCAAGACTAACCATTGACTTTAATGGGACTAAAGCAGGGTGAATATTAACTTAGTCTGTGCCCAGTCCAATGGTTGGTTGGTTGAGTCTACTTGAGAGTGCTGGGTAGGAGAGATGCCCAGCAGCAAGCAAATCCACCTAGCTCTTATAAGGCAGAGCTAGGTGGTGGTTCTCTTGGGCTGGAAAGGCCACTCATGCATGGAACTAAATGGGCTCTTCTCAGTGGCTCTCTGGAATCAGACTGCTCCGTGCAGTTATGTAGGAACCTCAAAGACTGCACCTGTTACCACTACTCAGAAAAGGGGAGGGTACTAAAAATAATGGGATGGAGAACTGAATGGCACTGATTGTTGCAGCAGAGGGTCCCTGTACTCCAGAGTCCGCTTTTTCTGCGGTGGCGCCCACTCTATGGAATGTGCTCCCCAGAGAGGTCCGCCTGGCGCCGTCGTTATTTGTTTTTCGGTGCCAGGCGAAGACCTTTTTATTTAAACGTCATTTTAATTGTTAACAATATTTGCTTCCAGGGCGACTTCTTTTATATTGTTATCTATTTTATATTGTTGGTTTTATATTGTTATTTTTGTATTGTATTGTATTGTATTCTGTGCTGTGAGCCGCCCCGAGGCTTCGGCAAGGGGCGGCATAGAAATGTTTTAATAAATAAATAAATGTAGACAAATATATACATGGGGAGAGTGGCTGGATTTGCATGACATGGTTAACCCCCCATGAGTTAAAAGCCATGGTAGGTTAACATATTGTCCAAACCCAGCACTGTTCCCGTGAAGTGGCTTATAAGCCACTTCAACCGTGGCTTGTTGTATGATTTATTTAACCTTCTGTGGGTTAACATGTCATTCAGATCTAGCTACTTTCCTGGGTTTCACAGGAAGATCAGCTAGCAAGTCATGTGGCAAGAGAGGTGGACATCTACAGTGAGTCTTGTTTACACGGGCAGCTTTCCCAGTCTGTGCCTGGCAGTAGAGCTCTCTTGGTCTCCTCCATCCCAGAATCTGCCTGGCAACTGGTGATGCCACAGTCAGTGCTCCTTGCCCACACCACCCCCTTCAGCGTTCAGCAGTTGAATAGACTGGGAACTTCCTCTGCAGAGTTTTAGTTAGCTCGTCAACACAGAGCAGAGTCACCTTACTCTATTCAATCCCTGCTCCCCCAGGTCCCAGTGTCCTGGTAGGGAACACACCCCTAACCCATTTGCCAGCTCAACTCCATTGCCCATCTCCCCATCCCACCTGCAGGCAAGAATCCCATTTTAATGAGACTTCTGCTGCCTTGAAGAAGGTCTTATTCTCTACTCACTTTTATACCAAATTCTTAATCAAGAAGGACGTCCATGTTACAGCACTAAAGTGTAAGGTTTTGGAAGGCTGGTGAGCATGCCAAACCTAAGTGGTGGATGGCGGGAAACCAGAGAGAAAAGCATTCCACCTTCTGGTGAGGTTGGGATGTTTCTACCAAGGATGGAGATGTGGGGAGTGGGAGGGGACGGCAAGGGGGCAAGCTGATGCCACAGCGGGAGGAAATGAGGTGCCTTTGCCAGTGTAGTATGTTTGTATGTTATGTATATATAGACCGTCCATCTACTGCTATTTCAGGATGGTTTACTGTGCTATGGTTTCATTTCTATACCACCTGTAGCCAAAGCTTTTTGGGTGGTGTACTGCAAACCATCTCAGTTTATTAGTATGTCATGCAAACCTTCCCAGTTTATTAGTATGTCATGCAAACCTTCCCAGTTTATTAGTATGTCATGCAAACCTTCCCAGTTTATTGAGGATGGGGTGGGGAAGTAGTACATTTAAGTAGAAAAAGAGCATCTCTTTCACCATACTCAAGGATGCATTAATGGTTTAGCATGCAATCCTATGCAAGTTTAGGGCATTACATAGGAATGTACCCTAGATCATTTTTTTAAAAATCTGCTGAAGAGGTGCTCTGATTAATTAGGTAGCAGATCTTAACATCTTTATTTTTTAAAAAATGGTAAGAGGTAGCAAGCAAAATGGCAGTAGGCATTCCCATTCCTCTCAAGCCCTGTAGAAGCACCTGCTTTTCCTCATGTGGTTGCAATATGAAAGGGGAAGGATGGGATTCCTGCAAACCACTCACTGAAGACAGATCCCATTCTTTGTACAATCAGGGTTATAAATCAGGCAAGCATCTCTCCTTTCCATCCCAACTTTGTTAGTGTCCGACTTCACTTCTCACATGCAGAGGGGCAGTAGGCCCCACTCCCTCTCTCCAATGAGAGGAAAATGACTGAATGAAAGAGAAAACCTGCCCGACACAAGGAACATTGTGTCGCCATCATCCAGGAATAATGAATGCTTTTTGCTTTAGCATTTTATTGGCTCGGATGAAAATCTTACCTACCAACACTCATAATTGACAAAGGGTTGAATCCTATGTAATCAACAACTCACTTTCAATGGCTGGACAAGCACCATTCAATAGGCTATTTTGTAGCTATGCACAGTGGTATGGCATGGTGGTTAGTGTCAGGATGGGGATCTGGGAGATCCAGTTTTGGTCCGCTCTCAAGCATGAGGCTCTCTGGGTGACTGAGGTCAGTCACAGTATCCGAAGATGGTTGTTGTGGGATAAAATGGGGTGGAAGAGTACCTTGTAAATTCCTTTGGGCTCCTCACAAGAGGAAAAAAGGTACAATATTAATGCAATCTTGTACTAATATTGCAATAAATGCTAAACTTCTACTTGTGTGAGATCACAAACCCCTTCCAACTCAAGCCCCCGCATGTTTGCATCTGGCTTAACACTCTCTGCTAGCCATGCATTCCATTCCTTAAAACCTCCTAAGAGTTTGTGACAGTGTACAGACCTCTCAGCAAGGTCTCCCTGCCTCCTCAGAACCCGGAATAATGTCATGGCAACATTCCTTGTGCTCTAGGAAAATTCAGCTTCCTGAGCACCCCATAAAGTATTCCAACTCTTATCACATTTCCCAGGGTCCTCGGCACCAGGGAAATTCCTTTCTGCATTCCACACAGAAGAGGCATTGAGGCCTCACAGGTCACTCAGCGATCTCCACCGCCACAACTGCCAGGCAAATTTGGAGACAAGTTCAGGTTTTCTGTGTTACAGCACAGTGATGGCATTAAGGTCCTGGTATGTGTCCCCTGCTCCTGAAGTAACCTTTGAAAGGAGAAAGGAATTACTTTCTTGCTTTCAAAACTACTTTCCCACATTTTAAGCTGACCCGACAAAAGAATCTTGCACTACTTTCCCAACTGGTCAGTAATAAAATATTGCTATTTGAATGCTGGGGACATGCTAGGTTTCCCACACTGGCTCAAGGAGACAATATCCCCCTGTCCCATAATGCCCCCCCCCATGAAAGTATACTTATTGCATAACTCCTCATCCTGACAGGAACCAAGATCACTGCAGCAGATATGCTTATGTGGTTTGATCCTGTCATAACAGATGCATTTCTTGCCACCTCTACAACAGACAAGGCCCAGCCACAAAGCAGACCACACAAGAAAGCAGTTTCTCAAATGTTTATTGAAGTAGTGAAAGGTTACTCATACTGTGCTGAAAAAAGCAATTTTATTTAATTCAGAAACTTAAAAAACAGTACTGCAGTACAGGATATTGTTATTTTTTACTAAACTCCCTTTTCAAAAGCTCTGCTAAACCATCAGGATCTAAGACCTAGTTGTCTAGCATCTCCATCTTGTACTTTTGGATAAACTGCAGAAAGGCACTTGAAAGCTCTTTTTAGTTTTGCTGGTAAGTGTTCATTTCTGCACAAGAAGTTGTGCTATTCTCTCTTCACTCCAGTTCATCATGGTGAGAAGTTTCGTTGATAACCTATTGAAAACAAGCAGCATCAGATATCAGAACATTAGCTAATAGTTCATTCATCTCGATGCTTAGGTTATTTCACAGTCAAGAAACCCATACTGACTAGGGAATGATGGGAGTTGCAGCACTTTTTTGTGGACTGCATCTTTTCTCTACTTTAAACTAGTGACTAGAAATCCCATATGAACATTTCAGCTGAGCTTGTTGCATGCTCCAAAAACAGGACTGGACATCATCAGGACCGCTGAATCTGGTTTTGCCTTTGCCTAGAATCCTAAGGCCCACCAACTGGAGCCCAAAAGGCAGACACTTCAGATGCTGAGCTGAGGCATTTGTTCTGAGTACCAGAGTTAAGCTCCCAATTCTTCCAGAAGTTCTAACCTTGTCTACTCTACTAGCCCTGCTGGTGCTGAACTCAAAAGCATACCAAGTGCATGCCAAAGCTTTCCCTGCCTTCTGCTGCCTGTCTAGACTTCTCACCCGAAGCCAAGTGTGGGGAAAAAAGCTGAAGGAATGGAAATTCTACAGTTCAGAGACAGCTGGTCTTCTTTCATCAGCCTGCACCAACTGTTCCATCTTGGAATTGCTACACTATACAAGCAGTGTGGAATTTCTTCATTGTGGAGGAAGCTTTGAACTGAACCAACTATCTGACATAAAGCTGCACTGAGCTTTATGATGAATCGCTGGACAAGTGGCCTTCCTAATCTTATCTGGAACACTATATTACTCTTTTAGGGAAGTATGCCCAACCTACAGAGCCATACCTCATCATCAGCCCTTTTCCCTTCCTTCTATCACCACAAGTATTACAAATGCAAAATCTGATGTTTTAGTAAAACAACTTGAATGCAAACACTGTTATGAACCCTGGCAAAGGTTCTGTTGCTGCTGCTGTTTTTCAGCAAGACTGGGAGCTGCAGTCCAGAAATGTACAATTTAACTGGCTTGGGGCACAATCCTATTGAGAAAACCACAAACCTCCTCCCACTCCACGTTTTCACTATATTGTACTTGGGAAGGAGAGAAGGAGATTGGGTGGCTCCAGGACAGCCCATATTCTGACTGCTCCAATCTCTTCCTCTCCCTGCAATTGCCCCCTCTTTGAGGTTGCTTTCCCAATGGCCAACAGCCAACATTGTTCTTTCTTTGCAGGGGAGGGGGCACCAAGCCCCAATTCCCAGCTCTGAGATCAGACTGCAGAGAATCTGAACCATTCTATGGCCCCTCTGAGAATGTCTAGGGTCATAAGATCATTCCCCATCAATTATCTTTTCCCCAAAACTGTTAGGCTGCAGAAAGAACTCAGGCATGCCCCTCTCCCCATTGCAAATGTGTGATGGTTAGGAAGCTCCCTCACCGTCAGTGACTAGTATTTGCCCACAGTGCTTCCACTCTAACTGTGCATGAAAGCAGAAATGGACACTTAGGCCGCATATTCTTTCTCCCACCCCCAAACAGTATTACTACCACTCACTTGTCCATCTCTAGTTTCAACAGTCTTGATAAGGAGTGTTCTCTTTGAGTGGGTGTCCAGTGGGATGGACTCAAGGTTTGTTTCTGTGGAGGGAAGGTCAGATCATAGTTCAGACTTTGGTTACAGAACGGTCACTCACATCAGAAACGCCCGGCAGTGATGCTGACTTCGGTGGCATGCTACATGATGGGCTGTGCAAACCACTAAGGCAGTGTTGGGGAACCTCTGCCCTCCATCTGGTCCATGGAGGTGTGGTGGTCCTTACTTGAACCCCACCCACACCCCTCTTCCTCACCTGGAGGCCACCAGGTGTTGAGGAGCCGTGGGGAGAAGCACCCCCTGTGATTGCCCACTACAGACGGAGATAGCAAACGGAGTCCCCAGCACAGTGCTCCTCCTCCCAATAGGAAGAACAAGAGGCATGCAGGGAATCCATTTTCTCTGATCACAAAGCAAGGAAAACCTAAATGCAAATCAATGCTCTGGCCACAAATAGGACCAACTGCTGAAGTACTGCAGTGAAACTTACCTCTGCAAAAACCCCAACTCTGGAACACATATTTGGTACAAGCAAGGCATGGCAATGCTATAGGAGCACCGCAGTTCCAATGAAGACCAAGGCACACATACAAACTATGTAACACCATTTTAAATGCAATTGCTAATGCTTTGAGAGGTACCATTTACTAGTACGGCTGGCAGCTACTTACCTCTCAGATTCATGGAAGCAAAAGTCTGAATAGGCATTGAAATTCTGTCAAGAAAAACAAAAGAAAAAATCACATGTAATGAGCACAGCTGTAGCCGTTTCCAGGCTTCCCTGCCAGAGGCGCACCAGACATGTTTTGTACCTGCTCTCTTCTCCTTCCAGCAGTTTCCTGTAAGTGGCAATCTCAATATCAAGGGCCATCTTGACATTCAGCAGGTCTTGGTACTCGCGCAGATGGCGAGCCATTTCTTCCTTCATGTTCTGAATTTCTTCTTGGAGGTTGGCAATAGTGTCTTGGTAGTTAGCAGCTTCGACAGCAAAGTTATCCTCCATCTCACGCATCTGGCGTTCCAGGGATTCATTCTGCAGTGATGATCAAAAGCACTCATTGACGTGTCAAGCAAGAGTCATCATCCAACAGTGTATACAGGTAAAAGCTCCTATCAATGGCTTAAAGTGTACTTTTGCAACAGTAATGCTTCAGCTGTTTCTCTTTCTACTTCAATAGAAATCAGCAAGGCCAAGAATTCCTTCACAAGTTGCACAGTGCAATGAGAGAGAAGGATGCACTTATTGATCTACAGGAAGCATCCAGCACCTCAGAGTTTAATTCATTTCATGAATGCACACATCCTATAGCTAACTGGTAGATCACATACTTCTTATGCACAGTCCCTGGCATCTCTACTTCCAGGCAGGACTACAAAATATTGGCCTAACTTAGCCTTTTCCAAACCAGTGCCTTCCAGATGACCATGTAGGTTGGGAATGAGTAAAACTACAAGCCAACATATGGAGAGCACCTTGAAGGAGATGAATAGGTGAATATATACCAATAAGTGGAGCTTCTTTGCCAATACAAGAGCTTTATATTCTGTACTTTTGCTTAACAAACAATACAGACCTAAGAACATTTAGGGGGAAAGCCAGCAAAAGCATTCCCTTCCAAGTAGCTTTTTCACTTACAGTTCCTTTAAGTGCATCAACTTCGCAGGTTAGAGTCTGAATTTGCCTGCGGTATTCATTTGCTTCTTGTTTGGCTTGGCGCAAGGCATCATTGTTCCGGGTGGCTGCTTCAGACAGATCTGCAAACTAATACCAGCACATGCATTAACAACCAGATTAACACTGCAGGTGTATTAGAATCCAGTATGTATTCTACCAAGGACAAAGCCAGCACAAGGGTTTCACCACAAGGATTCAATTCATTTTGGAGAAGCATTTGGCGGTCATGTTTTAAGTGGGGGGTGGGGCTGAGGACAAGGGGCAGTTCTAAATGTGCAAAAGCTACAAGGCTCTTTTAGCTTAAAGCTCTTCTTGCCAGAAATTAGGCCACAGGTGATGCATTTTAGAATGCCAACTGAAAAGCCAGGAAACAACCGAAAAGTGGCAACTGGGAAAAAGGGTGGAAAACCCTGGAGGGCCTGACTGATCCTGCAAGAGGGCCAAACCCAGCCCCCATGCTTCAAATGCCTCTCCTCTGGACTAAGCAATTACAAGCTACTACAAAGACTTATTATTACTAGATCACTTAGGGCACAAACCAACACATTCCAAGGGAGATGCACATAACCTCCAAACATTGAGGCTTATGTGCATCCAATGCATGAAACAAAGTGTGGTCATGATGATCTTCTTGCTGTGGTGCCTGACACTGCATATTTACTTTGGATGGTCATTTCTAGATTTAGCGCTAGTAAGGGGTAGGGAAGAGGCTGGGGCAACAATAAGGCCCCGTTGCATCCTCAGAGAGGTAGCCAGCATGTACTTTCTGTACTGGCTGTGAGGAGAACAGGGCTGAGACATGCACTGTCCCAGTGGGACTTGGAACTGATCCAGATAATCCTACAACCATTCCCCGACAATGTTTGGAGGCAATAGGATTGTGTCGTCCTCAATCAGTAGAATTCAGCTACAGGTTCAGACCTTTCAGGACAAGTGTCTTTTCATAGAATAGTCTGCACATAATTAAAATTCACTGAGACCCACATATTATTAAAAAATTCCCTGTATTTTAGCCAGCTTGTTTTGCAAAACTGCAACCTGAGCTCTTGTTCTTACATGTAGGGCTTTTGTTTTCAATACAGAGGCATCCCCACAGAATTCCAGCCTCTACCAACAACATAATCAAACCCATCCACTAATGTTGCATAGCAACAATGCACAAGACTAACATGTTTTGCCCTGCAATTTCCCCTTCAGGACAGGGCATGATGCAAAGGAGCAAATAACCTGTGCTTGAATCCAATGAAAAGAAAGCAAGTCAAGTTTAACATACAGTGCAGCCTCTAGCTTTATGGGGAATATATTCATAGAAGGCCTGAATTCTCAGGGTTATACACACAGTTCCCAGCATTCTCTAAGCACTCCACAAACAAACAAATTTACTCCCAAGGAACACCAAGCAGATTCCTCATTTTATCTATATTCTAGAGTGTAACAAAATTTTTGGTTGAGTGTTTTGACGTAGTGAAGTGACTATCAGTTGTTTTTTTTAATCAAAAAGTGGACATTTCTAGAATGCACTTGTACTTTATGTACATATGCAAGAGTTCTTGCACACGTCATTTGTTCTCAATTTTAATGGAATGATTCTTTAATTGTGTGTATTTGATTATTTTTATTGAAAGATATGAACTACTTTGGATCTGTTTTGAGACAGAAGTCCAGCATAAATTCAATAAACATGAGAATTCAGCATTCCAAAATGAAGGTGAAGGGGTTCCATAGCTTAAGGCAGAATGTTTATGGTATTGAGGCCCGTTTTAGATTCACAAATACTTTTCATTCATATTCAGCTAACCAACACTGGAATGACAGAATTGTCATAAGCTGTGGAACTGCGTATTATTTCTTCCATAAAGATTTTATAGAGAAAACCTGTAAGTAAGATGTGGTATGGATGGGAGTTTAGCTAAGCCTTTCACTTACTTTGGACTTGTACCATTCTTCTGCTTCCTGGAGGTTCTTGGCGGCAACACTTTCATACTGTTGACGCACATCCCGCAAAGCTGCAGTAAGATCTGGCTTGGCAACATCCATATCAATCTGGATATGCTGATCCTGGATTTGAACCTGAAGCTCACGGATTTCCTTATAGAAAGAAAGACACCCGTCATAGAAACATTTCTGAATGATATTCTTTTTCAAGGAATTGGCATTCCAAGAGCTGCCCCAGTCAACTTACTTCTTCATGAAGCTTCTTCAAGAAGGCAATCTCTTCTTGCAGGGACTCAACTTTGCGTTCAAGGTCCAGACGGTTCAAGGAGGCATTGTCAACATCCTGAGGAAGCAAAGCAAGAACACCCTCAGTAAACTTCAGAAGCTAACTGGAGCAAGCTAACTTTGTTCAAGGATAGGCTGGACATGCACATGGTAGGCATGTCATGAGCGGAGCTGGGGGTCAGACTAGATGGCCTGGGAGGCCACTTCCAACTCACACTGTTTCTATGTCTAAGTAGTAGTGAATATGGATCTAGCCCAATATCATGAAGCACAAGGCAATTACTTTGTGGAGGAAGCAGTGGCCAGATCCCGTTTCCTTTAAGAATGGTGCAAAGTGCTGCACATGTGTGCATTACAATTTTCCATGAAGATTTTGGAGAAGAAACTAATTGGAGAAAAAAACTACCATCATTTTGGCAGAGAGTTCTCAATTTTTAGAAACATACTGTTTTGTAACATTAATTTTAGATTTTACTGATACTAAAGTTCCAAATCATTTTTTCTAGGTGCTTATTCCTAGGAAACTCACACAGCTCTTCAAGCATATTAAGATTAGTAATAGCTCTCAGTATTTGTTTTTCTTCAAATCTCAACATTGTAAGGGATACACTACTAAACAGTCATGTTCATGTCTTAAAGTATATCAACTTCCAAGTCAAGTTTGATCTTTTTTAACATTGTGTTCAATCCCATTCTTTACTCAGTATTGCATTTTAGCTTTGGCTGCTGGAAAAAGGTACTTTGAGCATTTAAAAATTAATTTATTTCTGCACAGTTTTAGTTTAGTTATTGAATGTGAGTTGAGGAAACAAGCTGGAGCAAATCTCAGTCAACACAGGGCAACGTGAATGTTCTGGAAAGCCAGTGTGACTGGCGCCCCCTCCAGGCAGTCCCTTTAACAGGTAAGGGCTCCCACACTGGAACACTGCACTTGCTGGTCCCATCTCTTCTATTTCCATGTATGCCAGCATCTACCTCTTCAGGGCTTAACCTTGCTGTGCTGCACTAAATACACAGCTTCAGTTGCACCAAGGCAAACGCTAGCCTACCTGGCACAATATAATGAGGTTACGAAAGCACTTGGAGCAGCCCTTCTGCGTAAGGAATAAAATGAGGCTCACTGCTCCTTTGTTTTTTTGCTGTAGGCTGAAAATATCTTGGGTTGATCCTAGGAATGTAGTGATATCATGCCACTTCTGATGCAGGCCAATCAGAATGCCCACAAGCCCAGAGAATTTGGGGCATCCCATGCAGGGCTGAGGATGTGGACGAGACAGCCTCTGCCTCTTTGCTTGGTCCGCCCTGCAAGGCGGGCTGATTTCAGCCATCTAGCACTAGCTAGAGTGGTCACTCTTATGACCTTGCAGAAGCAGCTGGCACAGTTCTTCATATGCTGGCTGTAAGGTTCAGAGCACAGATCCCCAACTCCAAGGTTAGAGCTTCGTCCCTGATCTCAGCTCTGGGAATCCAAAGAATCTTATGACTCCTGCTAAGATGCAACAAAAGCCAGCTATTTATTCCATTCATACCCTGCCTTTCCACTAAAAATAGCACATCCAATTATAAAATTCAGATAAAATGTGAGGCGAGGAGACCATAAAAACAGATTAAATACACACCAATAAAAGAAACCGCACCCACCCACTCTAATTAAAACGTTTTTCAGAAAATAAGTCAGCTCAAAAGCCAAACACTGGTCTCAACTAAAAAAAAAAAAAAAGGGTGTGCCTGCAGGCAAAAGAATAACAGTGACAACTCACCCAGAAAACTGGCTGAATGCAACCACCAAGGAAGTCCTCCCTTACATTCCTGCCAGATGAGCTTCTAGTGGTGGTGGGATTGAGAGAAGGACCTTTCCCAAGTAACTTAACATGTGACAATGTGCTATTTCATAGAGCCATTGATAAATGGCCCAGACTAGACTGCTGCACTCTAATTGCGAGGCCAAACAAGTTGAACATAAAGAGATGTTGGCATCCTTAAAGAATCTCTGTTGTAGGTGAAGGCGGGGCAGGGCAGGGCAGAGCAGCCACACAGGAAATGAATTGCATATGTAGCAGGCTCTGCAGCAACAAAAGCAGAGATAATGCGCATATCTGGCAGCATGTGATGAGATTAGCGCTCATATCAGACTTTTGTTTCCTACACCCTGTGCAGGACAGCCAGCCATTTCACACAGGAACTGAGCTGCACAGGTTTAGAAAGCTGATTTCATGCTCAAATCTCACAGCTTAGCCAGGATGAATCTAAGTCAACAGTAAGGATTCATATTCTTCTCAAGACATCCAGCATGAAATGCACAATACACTGAATACATCCAACCCTATCCAAATTACTTTAGAGTAAGCTTCACTAGCTAGTGCACAAGGCCCAGTCTCTCCTCAATAAGTAGTAGTCAAAAACATAGTGCATTATTCAGATGTGAAAGTCCAGAAAACGTCCCTCACTTCTCCCACCCCAAAAAACACAACATCATTTTGTATTATTTATTTATTTAGGAAGCTTCTATGCCGCCCCATTCGCCGAAGCCTCGGGGCGGCTCACAATAAATAAATAACAACAATATAATCTGAGACGACCTGGCCAAAGATGTAAAATAAATAAATAATATTAGCAATTAAAATGATGTTTAAATAAAAAGGTTATTAAAGACTTTTCTAACCCATCCACTACAAATGTATGGGGACAGTGTACAAAAAATGAGAAAAAATTTCCAGGGAGAACTGGAAAAATGTATAAAAACATGTCCCACCCTCAAAAAAAAAAAAAAAAAAAACCCCCCGGGGGAAATGGGAAACACCGGGGGGGGGGGGGTTCCTATTTTTCCCCAGGCAACATTTCCCTTCAGTTACTTGTGACCTAAGACCACACTTCCAAATGCAACACTGTTAATAGGGACTCTCAGCACACCAGATACTTTGCTAGTCTGGGATTGATGCAGGGGAAGGAAATTGGTTACTCCACGGCAGGATCTCTCTCAACAATACAATGTGGAAAGATGTACTTGTGAAATGAAACCTAAATAAAAGCAGAGACAGATGAAGAGGCAGGAAATTTAACAGGACAGAAAAGGCCAAATAGGCTGAAGCAGAGTTGGAGGTGGGATTCTTAGCAGTTAGGAATTAAGGCTACAGTGTTACAAAGCTGTATTTTGTGTCTGAAGGCCAGTCATCAGTGTTTAGAAGTGCATCTAAGACACATCTATAGAGTTTAGAATGCCAAGCAGAGGACTTAAAACTTTTTGGAAACCTGTACAGATTTAATAGGGCACTGTTCATTTACCTTCCCAGTGTCTTACCTGAGCTGAACAGGGGCTTATCCTTTAAGCCTGCCTACCCGAAACTGAACTACAACACCCACCATCCTCAGCAAGCAGAACCATAATTAAAGCCTTAATTAGGAGGTCACAATCAAACTTGGGGTGAATACATACTGTAAAATGTAGTCTTGAGGTGGACTGAGTACTTCACATCCACATGGAAGGGAAAAGCCATTGCTTAGGCAGGGTGGTAACTTGGGAACAGAACACCTGCCTTGGGTGCAGAAGGTCCCAATTTAACCTCCTGCATCCACAGGTAGAATGGAAAAAAACCCTGCTGCTTGAACCCATGGAGCACTGCAGCCAGGCAGTGCTAATGGCACAAAACGTGATGGGCGAGTGATCCAACTCTTTGGACTGCTGTAGATATACCAGGCACAAAAGTTTAAGTTGGTTCTCAACATTTAAGCCATGTTATCTAACCTCTTCAGGAAGGCGGCTACAGTACAATCTCATCTATCTACTTAGAAGACCCATTGCATTCAACAGGGCTTACTCCCAGGAAAGCGCTTGTGGATTCAGGATTCCAGAAACCGTTTAGCAATCCACCTAGGCTAGCTTGAGCATAAAGCTAGCCTCCATGTATCAAGACAGACTAGCCCATTCACTGTAGCACAGGCAAATATGCATAGGTGCTTCAGCCTGCTTTCGACAATATTGTCTGTTAAAGATGCTTATGACTGAACGTGGGACTTTTTTCCTTGCAAACTGCATGTTCAGCCATTCAGCAATGCTCCCTCCACTGATATACTCACACACCTCATGAATGGCTAGGTCAAATACCTCTCATTCCACTTCTCTACAGCTTTTGGTTCTTTCTCCCTTGAGAAAAACTTCTTTAAATTTAAGTGGAGCCAAGAGGGAGTTTGGTAGCAAGCTAGAAATGGAGACCACAGAAATGGAGAAATTCAGTGCAAGGAACCTGGATAACTTCTAATGTTCTCCTAGGTGCTGCTTGACCCATGGGGCATTGTTTTTGTGGACACTGTACATACTATACATATACACTGCAAATCATGTCTTCTGGGGATGCCAGTATCTCATGGGGATATTGCTTAAGCTGTTTCATAACCTCTGCCAGTCCCAGTGTGGTTTACATTGTGAAATGTCCTTGTAAGTTGTTTTAAAGTTAGAATGATTATGCATAAACTGTAGATAAGAATAGGGGGGAAAGTTATTAATGAAAGAGACTGTGTGGATTCTCAGACTTTGTACTGCATCCCAAAGGGGCTCAATGCTGGTTTTGATGGTTTAATGATGAGAGCCAGGGTGCTGCAGTGGTTAGTGTTGGACTGGGGAAACAGGAGATCTGGGTGCCATGAAGCTCACTGGGTGTGCCTATCTCACAGGGTGGTTTCTGTGAGGAGCAACCTTTTCCACAAGAGGAAAAAAGGCAGAATATAAATGCAAAGCAATGATGATGATGAACATACTCTTCTCAATTTTGGCAATGGTCTGTATTCACTCAAGCCTTGATTTTTGGAAAAAAATTTTGGATGAAAAATGAGAAGGATAATTTCAGAATTAGTTTTATGTCTGCTCCTTAACAGCCGAGACTCTCCATCCCTTACTGAGGAATGGTGGACTGCAGCACAGATGTCCACGCAATGGAGATCAAGGCGCGCACACTCCCCACATCGTCCAAGTGTCACTTTACTTTCACTTGATTTTGAATTCTTTGCTCTAAGATCCCTCCATTAGACAAAGAATTCTAGGCACTATGAAATTATTAGACATAGTTATCCCTTTGCAATTTGATTTTAATGGGTTTTACTTTCAATTACTTTAGAATCTAGAAAAAGAACTCCTAAATTCTGGATCAATCATTAATTGGCAAACCCTTCTAATGCTGTAAGTTGAAGTTTTAGCTTTTAAGTTCGTAATTTCTAACACTTATAAATATAAGCCTTATAAATGTGTAACTGTAAAATGCTACATTTAAGCTATAATGCCTTGGAGAAAAGCTTAAAGTACAAGCAAACTCACCTACTCAAAGTTACCGTATTTTTCGCTCTATAAGACGCACTTTTCCCCCCCTCAAAAGTAAGGGGAAATGTCTATGCGTCTTATAGAGCGAATGTGTGTGTGCCTGACGCCCGGGACGCTGCCGGCCACCTGCACCACATGGCACCAACTGGCAGCGCACACTTGGCGTGCGCTGCTCCACACCCCCCCCTCTGGCACAGGTGAGAGCTGTGCTGCTCAGGGGGAGAGGTGCAGAGGAGGAGGAGCCGCGGGCTTTAACCCACCGGCTGCACGGAGAGACGGACTGCTCACCCCCACCGCCCAGGAACTGCTCACCCCCACTGCCCGGGAAGACCTGCCGCTGCGCCGCCCGGAAGACCACCTGGCCGGCACGCGCTCGGCACACCCTGCTCTGCTCCCCTCCTCCGGCGCAGGTGAGAGCTGTTAATCACAGGTTGGTGTGTTTTCAAATGGCAACCCGTCTTAATGAAGCCCATGGGGAAGTGATGGGGAATGTGCCTGTGATTATCCGGAAGCTTCCATGGATCAGTTATCTGTTAGTTGATCAGACACATTTTTTTTTGGATCAGTGGATATTTGAACAGCACTACCTTCGTGTATGAAGTTTATTCTTCAAAGGCTACTTAGTCCGCTGTGTGTTTGATTTACCGTACAATATCTCATTTTTTGTCAGAAG